CGGGAGCCGGAGGGTCGCCCTGACCCCCATCTCCATCCCGCCGCGGACACGCACCCCCAGCCCCCGGGCCCGCACCCACAGGACGCCCAGCCCCCGCCCGCTGTCCGCCACGGGCTCCAGACCGGCCTCCGCGGGGCAGGTGGACGGAGGGGACCCGGTCGGCAGGGCGGCCACCCTGTACCCCACCTCCATGTTCAGTTTCGAGACGTTCAGACGGAGAGACAGTGGGGACACCTTCAGGAGGATAGTGGTGGAGGAAAGTAGCAGGTATGTTTTTTTTCTCCTCACAAATATTTAACGTCATAACGTTAAATATCAATGTTAAAAATCATATCATATCACTTTTTTTAAACCACAGGTCTGTCATAAGTCATTATTCTTTCTATATTCAATTTTATTTCCAGTCCATGGCACCATAAAAGTCATTTGGCATATTCATTATTGATGTGGGTTGTGACCCCAATATCATGTAACCCAATTTGATTGCTCCCTTGCTCAGCTGGTAGTCATATAATCTAGATTTGTTGACTGTAGTACTAGTAGTTGTTTGTAATTTTCCTCAAGTGCAATGTCCATTTTTGGAACATGAAAATTATTATTATCATGATGATACTGTATCAAGAGGACATTGTACTAGTATCTTGTGGTTATTATTCTGGCTTATTATGATTGTTGACATTAACGATAGTGTATCAAATATAGGTCAAAAGTTGGCTCCATCACTATGATAAACATAATGTGTGAGATTCCATCTATTCTGTGATAAGTTAGTCAGAAATTCACCTGTACAGGTACAAGTGTTTTATGATGAGCACTGTGACCAGGTGAGATGTGCACTCATCGATGACCAAAGTTACAGCCCCAAATGTACATTCGAGCGGCATATGTGATTAATATTCATTAGCTCAAATGTAATAAACTGGAAGAATTATAGCCTCCATTTTAGACTTCTGAAAATGCCGGTTTTATTACCCTAATTTGACGTAGGGCAGCTACGAGCAACTTTGGCAGATGGGAGGAATAATCAATACTTTCTTTTGAATCCGGCATCAGATTGCCTCGTTCTAACTGTCTTCCATCAGTCTACTAATCATTACGTATTCCCAGGGACTAGCTCTTTTATGCACACTAACCGATACCAAGGACATAAAGGACACCCGGGCTACAGGCTGCCATCTGTTACAGGCAGCCATTTCATGGTCTGGTAGGATTCCGAGTCTCTTAAATGCCCTTTTTATCCTGACCTCATCTGTAAATATTAATGACAGCACACCGTGACATCCCCTCTTGGACCTTTATGGGCAGTGGACCTTACTTGACAAGTAACTTAAAAACTCATAACCCTACATAGTCCAGAGGTGCATACGTTACATGTATCAAGGATCTTAAAATGTTGATTTTTTAACCTCCTTCAGTGTATGAACTATCCATCTCAAGTGGGGATATTATGAAATATTAAAAAATCTGTAAAGTATATACCTTAATCCATCATTGATTAAATCTAGCCACAGTCATAAAAGAATCAATATAACATGCCCCAGCCATTGATGTCTTGAATGCTTCCTTTTTCCCCAAAGGACAATATTGAAGTCAGCTCGAATCTATTTATAGAAGGACTATTTACCATCACAGGTGAAAGGAAACGCATTTAGGCAAGTATAATAGTTACTGCTACTGATGCATTAGGCTGAACTGTACAGACTGTAATGTTGGTATTGCAAGTTATGTAAATGATAATGACCATAGACTAGAGTGTACCTAGGCACACCCAACACTAAACACAGGTACGTTGGTACCCTCAATAGCCCTTAGCACAGCACGTATAGAATACTGTATGCTGAGTACAGATATACCCTACCAGCACTGCGGGCAGCCTTTCTTTAGAACAGGTCATTAAGAACACTTGAAATCCTCTTAAAACCCAACGACCGGTATAAACCATTCAATGTAGAGGGAGGTTTAAGAAAAAGAAATGGTTTCACCTGTGTGAAAAGGGTAGTCTTACAACTAAAGCCTAGTGTGGAGGTTTTGTTTGGAATGTGCTGTTGCATTTTAACCCATACAACACTTGAACTTGTTAAGGTCTGATTGTAATACTAGTAGTTCTCACTGGCTCAGACACTTAGACCTTTGGCATGGGCAGCGTTTACGGTTTGCTGGTCATAAAAGACGAGTGATTAAATCAATATAATAAAATGGTGTTAGTAGTATAGAAAGGGCATTTATATAGGCGTCCTTGGTTGTATCCAGTAGTAGTATCCAGTCTTTGATTATACTGCTGTGGAGGTCCCTGATGACACAGGTGGGCAGTAGTCTTTTTCTAGTCTTCACACCTGACCACATTTCCAAGTTTCTCTGTCCAGTGGGTCCACGCTGGTAAGGCTAAAGTTGTGGGTAGAAAAATGAAATGGAAATTCCTAATGTATCTTACCAATTTGTACTTTTCACCATTGTATAATGTAGTGTGGAGGAAACCATATATGTTTACTCGTCGAGACACAGAACATGTGGGAATGTCACAGTCCAAAGTATAACTAGGAACCCAAAGGATTTTCCAGTTGATCTGTGTGCCCCCATTCTCCTCACACCCTCCAGTACTGTTTGTGGTCACTCCCTCGTGTGAAGGACCTTTACCTGGCCAGAAGTCTTCTCACCTGTCCCAGGTGGAGGTACCAAAGTCCAAACCAGGCATTTTGTTTAACACTTTAAAAGGTTTAAGTTTCATATACTTTGAGTCTTCAACATACAGCTTGCATGGACAATGTACTGTGCACTGTAGTCTATTCCATAGACTTTGAAGAGTTGAACTGATCATATTACTAGTACTAGTAAGAAGCACTAGAGTCAACACTTTGAGTCGTCCTCTGAAGAACGATCTGGATGCTGAACTGCAGTCTCCTGCAGTAGTGTCAAAGTCGGTGGTCCGGGATTCAAACCCACAACCTCTGGGTTTCCCACCCTGTGGGTGAAAAGTGGAACCACTAACCCGTCTCGCCACAGGGGCAGTACTTGTTCACACACCGCCATTTAACAGATGTATTGCAAGTCATTCTCTAAACAACTGAAATCTAGCATGCCAGCTGTGACTTTAAAGAAGAAAAATGGCTTCAAAGCAAATCTGAAAGGCTGTAAAGGAGTCCATGTGTGTGTCAGATGCCAAGACTTGGCAATACATCAGTTGAAGTGTAAGGCCTGAACTGTTATCACTTTTCGAGATCCTTTGAAACATAAAACCCTAGCCTGGGATGATTGCCAAACTTTCCAGCACCATTTATTATTTCTAACAGCTTGGAAATGGGCCAGGTTATGTGTCATTACATTTGGAGAACATGGCAAACATGGTTTAAATGATTTCTGGATGGATATCAAGTAGGGTAGATTACGAAAATGAAACTTTTCCAGATCAGTTTGTCTAGATATAAAGCAATAGCAATCATATGTATATGCGTCATGACTCAGCAATGATCTGATTTTAAAAGTCTGATATTATTTATGCCAAAAAGTTTTCAACAATTACATCACAGTATGTAAGATACAGATACAGTGTACACAACTGATTACTTGTTATAGTACAAGAAAGACTGGTTGTACTATGTAATTACTACATGTATATCTTCCAATGTTACATTACATCTTTTATACAACTATGCCATAAACATTTACCTCTAGATCAGTGTCACCATCTGCTGTTGTTTGGAATAGGTCTAACAGAAGTCAGACATTGGCATATTGACTTTGGCTGGTTTGTTCCCACACCCTGCACACACTGGGAGTTTACATAGCTCTCTCCCAGCAAAGTTAGCAAATACTTTGTATGCTTTTACTGTTGATAGCTTTGTTATTGTCTTTAGACAGTTCTGCCAAACTCAAAGAATGCTTCTCAGGTATAAAGAAATCATTAGTACTTTTACATACTTTGTATTTATTATTTTAGTTTGTGTAAACTGTAAGTGTAATGTTCACTTTTGAAATACATATAACGTTATGTACCATAACAACGTACGGTCTATCAGAATACAACATAAATTGTCATTCTGATCACTTTATAGCAGTTTATGTACATAGTTCATTCACTGTTTTTAATGCTTAGGATTTGCAGTGTTCTTCATGAAGTAGACAACAGTACAATGAGAGATTGTGTAGAAAGGCCATAAAATGTTAACAGTAGGTCAACAGAGTAATAAGACACTATTAAAATGACACCATATCATAATTTATCAATGGCCATGCATAATTTTTTGTACCAATTTTTGTATTTGTTGAAATCTATGTGTTTAGTTGTCATGTCATCTAAAGGTTGACGTTGTCAACTTGTGATGTACATCATGTACATGTATGTAAAATGAATGTGATTTAGTTGTCTAGCAGTTGACAGTGTCTAATGTGTCTCTAGTATGTTACATGACAAAGATGACAAAGTTTGACAAGTGAAGTATTAGTACGATTACATTTTCAGAGTCGATTCTGCAACATGTGTGCAACCATGGGAATAACAGGTGACATAGCAAGTGTCAGATAAAATATTAATGACTCCAGAGGCACTGTGAGCATTATCAATCAGTCTTTGTGGCTAATTTAACATCAAATTTTATCTGTCTTCAAAATTGGGACAGCCATTAGAATTTCAACACAACGTTTAAAAAAAATGCTGAAAACTTGAGCCCAAAGTGTCTTTTGCAACATTCTAAATGCACATTTATAGTTCACAGAACCAGGTTATCATTCAAGAGGAGGGACTCTGAAGCAATTAGTTGTAAACTGGTAGTCCTGTCATGATGAAGGTTTTACAATTATACTGGAGCACCATTGTGCTACCTGGTATTGATTTGTCGATGGTTTCCACCTGAGGTAAATCACTATTCCCGATTGCTCCCATGGGGATAGCACAGACCTAGGTCAGGCCATCTGGGGTTGCTACAGCAGCCATCTTTAATTGCAGCCTGCAGCCATGGATACACTACGGAGGCTACGCCAAACATTACGGTCCACTCCGTTAGTATCCCGTACCCGTACCGAAGAAGCAATAGCTTCTGATGATAGTTTGGTATATGACAGTCGTTGGTGCATAAGTTGTTGGCGGTTTCATGCAGTACATAGCCGTGTGCACAGATGGTTTTTTTATTGTGTCGTGGGAGGTCAACCTGCACATGCAGGGAAATCATTAGAATAGCAGGTGTTGTAAGAATTACCTGGAGCGTGGGAAACCAGGTGGTACATATGGGCTACCTGTGTTACGCAGGTCCTAACAATTAGGTCCTTTCCAGGTGCCAAACGTGCAATAATATGGTTGTTCAACATATGATCATAATAATTTGTGCCTATGCGTTATTGGTGATTTTAATGTTTTATGACAATATTTGTTGATGCACCGATGATTTGCTGATGTATATTTTAATTTTCCAATTTGCCTCAGTTCCCATTCTTGGATAGAGGAAAGTTGCTGCTGAATCAAACATTATTATGGTATTATATAGATGAAATGCAAGTCATAATCTTCTTCTAGATCTAAAGAGAAGCGTCCGGTATCCAGTATGAGCACAGCGGACTCCGAGAAGACAGAGTCGGGCTCAGACGCGGACGTGGACGCAGAAGGCAGGAAGCGGAAGGGGAAGCCGGGGATTGTACGGAGGCGACGGTTACCGACGGCGCTCGTGATAACGCTGGACACGACACGAGCGCGGAGTCAGCTAGACGTGATACGGCTGGCACTGAAGCAGCTGGGCAGGGGATGGAGGGAGGTACGTACAACTGGTCTTATGGCCAAGTCCTGTAGTACAGTACAATGCTCTTTTTGCACAACCAAGTGTTTTATTCATCTGACATATCATTGAACGTCTATCACCTTCCTCAGGGCAGTTCTGAGTGGTTCACATTGCACATTTCACTTTTTTTTTGTGTAAAAAAATTTCTTTATTCAGTGATTTACCAACCTGATGAAACTATTCACAGATGTCTACAATGGTATAGCAGATTCAGCATGCTGTCAGTTCTTAGTCATATACATTATGTAATATATACGTGTAGATGTCTTTAGATCTGGTTGTTTATACATGATCCAGGATGGCTTGACATTCAGTTCAGAAAAAAAAGTTTGATATGACAAGGAAACGCTTCTGAAGTGTTTGTTTCACATCAGCTGGATGTACTCCAGACAGACAGACGTATCAAGGAAGTTGTTTTGACGTCTGCTTGGTGAAAAATATGGACTGATGAAAAAGCACTGCCAGCAGGTGTCAACATTGTTTTACATTGTCACTCCACAAAACTTCATAAAAAAAGTCTTCAGGGCACTTTATCCCTTTCCTTTTTGGTGACAACTTGGTTATGGTTAAGGCGGCAGTGAGAAGGTTAACCAACTTGTCTAATGACATCAAACAAACATGACTGTAGCAGTATTACAGGTTGTTTCATGAGATTTCATTACTCCATATTACAGTAATCGCTTCCTCTCAAATTGTGTCGTGTCCCTCCCAGTGTTATTGCGTCTACTACAAAAGACTCGACGACAACAGGAAAACCATTTCCGTTGTACGATTCAAATACAAACAAACACTTCATACTCATTAATAAATTTTCCCCCCTATATTACAGTCATCACTTCTTTCTCAGATTGTGTTGTGTCCTTCCCAATGTTATTATGACTACTACAAAAGACTCCACGACAACAGGAAAACCATTTCCGTTGTACGATTCAAATACAAACAAACACTTCATACTCATTAATAAATTTTCCCCCCTATATTACAGTAATCACTTCTTTCTCAGATTGTGTTGTGTCCTTCTCAATACGTCTACTACAAAAGACTCCACGACAACAGGAAAACCATTTCCATTGTACGACTCAAATACAAACAAACACTTCATAGTCGTTAATAAATTTTCCCCCCTTTATTACAGTAATCACTTCTTTCTCAGATTGTTTTGTGTCCTTCCCAATGTTATTATGGCTACTACAAAAGACTCGACGACAACAGGAAAACCATTTCCGTTATACGACTCAAATACAAACAAACACTTCATAGTCATTAATAAATTTTCCCCCCTATATTACAGTAATCACTTCTTTCTCAGATTGTGTTGTGTCCTTCCCAATGTTATTATACCTACTACAAAAGACTCGACGACAACAGGAAAACCATTTCCGTTGTACGACTGAAATACAAACAAACACTTCGTAGTCATTAATAATCTGTGTTTTGTGACCCTGTTATCCGTCACGCCCCATTTCCCCCTGATCCCTACTAACAACACCCCTGGTCTGTCTGTGCACGGCTGATCTTTTAAAAGGCAGTAAATCCCACTTCAGCCTGGTTTTCCTTCCCCAGGAAATGGACTGAGTGGATCAGACCGTCACGACTAGAAGCAGAATGATGAAATTACTCATTTCATGACTATATCCCATTTCTTGGGTAATCCGTTTTGTAAGAGCATATTTTCGCATGTTCAGAGCACAGCTGCATAAAAAATTTATCACTGCATTCAAATGAATCTTAAGAAAAATGATCTTGAGCCTTGACTATGACCAACTTGAACAATATGCTGTGGTAGATTTTAGTTTAGTTAATGTACTTTTGAGGTTAAAGTTTTGAATGTATTGCATTTTCGGTACCCGTTGGTTTCCGATTCACTCAATTCAACCCAAATCCTTGTCAGCGAAGCCAAGCCAAGAGAGATACCATACCCAAGCTGATATTTTTCCCGAGTAGTTGTATTGTATTGAGGTGTTTTGATAACCCTCACCTGTAGCACTAGTGTTGGCTAAAGAGTGGACAGGGTTGGGTGCTGGTATGTAGGCTTTTATACACCTTGCTGACATGTGATGTAAGGTTGGATGAGCAGCAATAGGCAAACAGAAGGGCCATGGTAAGATTACTAAGAAAGAAAACTCTAACGGTTTCAGCTCTGAGCGGTTAGAATGAATGCCAAGGTCACTTTCTAATAGCGGGTTGTGACCTTGTACATTTGCAACAAAAGGGTTTAAAATGGCTTTTTTTGCTGTAAAATGATCTTTGGTTACATTTTTAGTTTTTCTGCAACTGAAATGAACCTTTAGTTTGGAATGTTATCCAATTCTAAACTGGATTCTTGCTAAACCCCTTTGGGCTCCCCATATAATTATGTTAATACACTGTCAAAATGGTTTATTTTAGGACTTTTTGAGAAATTTGGTAGTTTTCTTGTGAACTTCACAAAATATTCTATCACATCAGCCAAGATGTCTCTATAGAAAATGGCTTGATGAGCTAACGGTTACTTGTCATGAAATACTAAGCTTATATTCAGCCCTGCCAAATGAAACATTTTACAGTATCTTCCCTTCACCTTCAATAATCAGTCTAATCCTTTTCCAGCTTGAAGGTTAATAATAAAGGGCAACGGGGCCCTGGGGCCCTATCTGGAAGAGGCAAATCATATTTCTTCATTCACATTCCAATATAAGCTTCTGACATCTGCTCTTTTCCCCATTATATTATGCTTGGCATGTTTGATGTAGGAGTATTTCAGAAATCCAACTAATTCTATGCAGAATTTTGGACTTAAAGACTTTGAAATGAACAGTTCACATTACTGCAGTAAAATCAACTCTTTAGGTCTTTCAACTCCTCTGTTCCATAATACATTGAAACATTATCCAGATCCCCGTCCATTCAGACTCATACAATCACAGCACTTTCTGGAGGCATTGTGTAAATCTTGTTTTTAAAAGGTAGCTGTTTTAAGCTAGGTTCAGTGTTATTGGTATATTGTTTATGTTGTTACATATTCCTCCTAATATGTATGTATGGACCAGGTTCCTGAATTAATTTAAAAGAATAAACATGAAAGTACTTATAAACCTATGCCATTTTAATCTTATTTCGTGATCCACTGATAAGAATTTCTGAGGTATGCGTTCTGTATAATTGTCCTTCTTCTTGTTATCTTATTTGCTATTACTTACCCATTGTCTGTGACCAGCTATTCTTCTTCACAAAGCAGCTGTCTTTCACCAGGCCAGTTCTCTATGCCTGGAGGATTGCGTGCCAACAGCAGGCAGCATTATTACTGTAAATCTGTCCATGACACATGCCTTTCACTGGGACAAAAGCTTTTGTTTTGCTCAGGATTGAGTTTCCGAATTATCTAACAACAAACAGTTTTCGCTGGAGTGAACGTATTATGAACTTCACATTGTTCACTTGGTGAAATGTTATTGGTAGACTCAAGTAAATGTCTACTTAAAATACCTGTCTATGTTGATGAATTGCTTCTGCTTCAGATTGATATGATTTAGAAATAAAATATTCTTGACTAATCTCTATCCTTTTTACTAGGGTTTTGCAGATTCTGAATTTGAAAGAAAAAACGTGTCTCTGAGATTTTTTTATTGATTTAAAAAAAAAGAACATACAGAGATCTAGAGTGAACCATCCAACTAGAAACAATCATCAAATACAATAATGATAATAGTAATAGAATATGATAATATTATTGATAATATTCAGAAAGTAGACTCATACTTATGACGATAAAATTTTCAAGTACAATTACAAAAGATTCCAGTCTCTAGGATTTCTTTTATTTCTTTTCTTCTTTCCATTATCCAATGCCTATTGATGGTACATGTGCATGTAATTGCAATTAGCCCTTAGGCATGTATTTGCAATAAACATCTTATGATAATTACTATCGTTAATGGAAGATTTCTGCTTTTGTTGTCCTGCCCAGTACCCACACGGGAGGAAGGCAGGTTCAGACATGTACTGGTCGGTTCCAGCCTTCAACGATTACGATGACTTTCCTTCAGGTGTCATCAACAAACTTCCAGGTGAGGAAGACTGTCAGAATTTAACTTTAAAGTGGTAGTTAAATGGTTAGAGTTTGGCAATGATTCGGATTTGTCTCAAGCGGATCCTTGGATGGATGGATTATCTTCATACTTTTGTTACTACATTTGACGATGTTGTACATGTGCCTAAGATTGAATGTCAAAATCTTCCCACCATAATTGTCTACTTTGAGATTCAGTATTAACAATTTTCAGAATTAAGAATTGAGAAGATATTATAGACCAATTTTTCAAGCACCTTTCTCTCTCTCTCTCTCTCTCTCTCTCTCTCTCCCTCTCTTTCCTACTGTGTTCTGAATTCTTTACAAATTTATACAAGAAACAACTAAATTTCAATGATATTTCCTACTGCTGTAGGTATGAAGGACATGTCCAACAAGGCTAACCTGTCCCAGGCGCTGGACAGGATGCACCAGCTCTTCCCAGAGGCCTTCGACTTCTTCCCGACCACCTGGCGGCTTCCAGAGGAGTTCCACCAGTTCTGCGCGGAGGTCCGCGTCCTGAAGGAGCGGCGCGGCAAGCGGTACAAGCCGACGTTCATCGTGAAGCCAGACGAGGGAACGCAGGGCGGCGGGATCTACCTCCTCCAGGACCCGCACGACGTGAAGTCCATCGGCATGGTCCGGCCGGCCGTGGTCCAGGAGTACCTCACCAACCCGTATCTCATCGATGGCTACAAGTTTGACCTCAGGATTTACGTGCTGCTAGCAAACATCGAGCCTCTCGAAATTTACATTGGACGTGAGGGCATGGCGAGGTTCTGTACCGTCCCGTACCAGTCCCCCTCGCGTATGAACCTCCACGAGTCCTACATGCACTTAACAAACTACTCTCTCAACAAGTACAGTGATGGTTTTATCCACTCCGAGGATGGGGATATAGGTAGTAAGAGGACGTTGAGTAGCGTGTTGCAGAGACTGAAGCGCAGAGGCAAGGATGTGGACAAACTGTGGAAGGATATTGAAGACATTGTCTTGAAGACGATTATAGCCATCTTACCTGAGATCAAGACATTCCACCATGTTATGTTGCCACCAGGGAAGAGTCAAGGAAGACCAAAGTGTTACCAAGTATGCTTCCTTTGCTTACCTAGACACATCAAACAGCTTCTTATATATTAGATAGAGGCTGCCTTGAATTATCTCTCTGATATAGCCTGTGCACCATCCATTTTGTAATGGAGCTCGCTACCCCAAAAAATTGTTTAGAGTATAAAAACATGGCTCCCAGGACACTGATATGCATCTACAAGAAACTGATGATGTATGATTTAAAGTATACAGGATAAGGGTACAGTATAATAATGCTCATAAGTAATATTTCTTGGTTCCCATCTTCATGTTATTATGTTTACCTTCGCAGAAGGAAATTATGTTGTTTTTGCTCTGTTTCTTCTTCCTCTGATTCTTCTTCAAAGAAATAAGGTCAATGACCTGAACCAGACGTCTGTCACCATGGTAACTAGTGTTACATCATGTTGCAATTTTATAGCAGGAGGGATTTAGACTTCTCTCTCTATATATATATATAAATATATGAAATTGTGTTTGAGTAAGAATTAACAGAGCAGACCATATGCGAAAGTAAACATTATGCATTTGCTTTGCAAATGTTACCTTTCTCATTTTTAAGAATCTTGTCTGTTTCCAAAAGCTGCTGGGCTTTGACATCCTGCTGACCTCTGACCTGAAGCCGATCCTGCTGGAGGTGAACTCTAACCCCAGCCTGAAGATCGACGCTGAGCGGGAGGTGTCGCCGGGGGTGATGGAGGCCATCCCCAGCCCCGTGGACGAGGAGATCAAAGTGCCACTGGTCCGGGACGTCCTCAAGGTCATGAAGCCGCAGAAGAAGAAACCCGTCCCCAAGTCTCCTTCCAAGTAAGTAAAATAACTAGAGACGAGTAGAAAAACAGTCTCCTGGGAATTGAACCCGGGCTGCCAGCTCACTACCCCAGTACCCTAAACACTAGGCCAAAAGGTCTGAACTCGTTGGACTGGTCAGTTAGTGGTTCTTGAACCCTACTGCTACATAAGGATTAAAGTTAAGAATGGTATTACTAGATGCAAGTCTGTGAATGCAGGATGGTAGTATTTGTGTTAATGCAAAAATTAAGATACAGACAATTATTTTTCAACACATGCGTAGATTTTAATAACAAGCAAGCTCTGTTCAGTTTGACCAAGGACATTATCCATTGACCAAGAAATGAATGTAACTTTGTGTTATGTCTTAAGTTGTCATAAGTCACATGTATATGGTCATATATATAT